TATATTTTTAAGTAAATAACATAGGCTATGTATGTATATCCATGGAAGACTGATAGCATATTAAAGCCAAGAATGAAAAACATAATGGGAATTTTAGGAATAATAATACAATTACATAATAATTATTATGAGAATTAATTTATTACCTCAGGGGAGACTTAAAACAAGCTCTGACATATGTGAAAATGTTCATTTGCAGAGTTTATTCAATGGAAACTCACACAGAGGACACATGCAGTGAGGAATGAGGGTGCTGAATTCTTTGTATTTAAAGGCTGTTGTCAGAACTCTAATTTCCTGAGCAAAGAGACCTGACCTAATGATAGCAACGAAGAAAAGATTTATCTAAATGCTGTTAGGAATTTCTCAGGTGGCTTTTTCTAGATGGGGCTTTATCCACTCCAGATATTCCAAATCAGTCTTAAGGGATAGATGAATAATTTTTAGGAAATTTCATGGTAATTATATCATCTATAATTTAAAAAGCCTATATGTATAAATTTCAAGATCTCAGAAAAATAGTTTCTTTACCTATTTACTCAAGAATTAAACTCTTTATTTATGCCCACCCAGTACGATGATAAGCATATAATCATTTTTACAATTCATTTTCTCTTTCCATTTTAGGTTATTTTACTTGTTTAATCTTGAGAAACTTGATATTTCCTACAATAGCATTGCTTTTATTCCAAATGAAATCCAGAAACTCAGGTATCTTGGAAGTAGTAAGTACCCACAAGACATATATGCCCCTTAAGGGCATATTTGGTAATGATTGTTATGGAGAAAATTGAGTCCTTTCATTTATTTAATAGCCGTAAAACATAATGTGTGAAGCATTAAGTTAACCAACATGTAATTTGAATGGTGTACAGTATTTTTAATACATAACATTTTCTGTAATTATTAAAGGATGACCACCTAATAGGTTGACAGGTTGATTTTACCCATTTATCTGTGTGTGCACCAGGTAGTTCTCATCAGTTTTATTTATTTATTGTGAGGAAATACATAAATATATACAAAATGCTAGTAACACACAGTGCTTTAATGCTTAGCCTCAATTCTTTCTCACGCTAGTTTTTTAAAAGTCTCTGAAGTTGATCTCTGTCCTTCTAGGTCAGTACCATATTATTTTAATTATGACTTCAGAGTAATTTATTTCTTATAACTAGTAGGGAGGTTATTTTTCAATATTAGTGTATTAACAATTCTCTTTAGATAATGATCTTTAAGATCATTTAATATAATTCTAAGCCCTTTCTCCCCCCAAAACATAAAGTTATGTTACTACTATGGATGTAGTATTTCCTCTAATTTTCATTTCTAGCTGCCTATTGCCAGTCAGAATAGAGAAACAGAGGACAGAACAGAATAGAGAAAAGCTATTTACTTCTTTGCATTAATTTAAATCAAGCTATGTAATCAAATTATTTTAGTTCTGAGTTTTACTATATTTTCTTTGATATTCTAGGAGCATTATTTCATCTTCAGTAAAATAAGATCATCTTATTTCTGCTTTTCTAGTATTTGTTCCATTATTTAATTTCTCATGTAACAGTCTTTATATTTCAATAGGAGAATTCAGCCTGTTCACATTTGTTATGACTGATATACTTAAGTGACTTCTGTTTTACTTTGTATTTAGTATTTATTTACTTTCTCCTTTTCGTATGGGGTTTTTTTGGGGTTTTTTTTCGGTGATTTTTTTTTCAGGATGCTATTTGTTCTCTTTTTTCCTCTCTTGTTAATTTTGGAACTTCACTGAACTTTCCCAGTCTATTACAGGCTATCTTTCCTTCCCCCCAAAACTTACAAACACATTTTTCTATACTATTTTATAAAAGCAAGATGAAAGCTACTTTCCCCAGCGTGATGGTCTGTCTCCCCCTATTGCTGCCTTCCACCAATAGCTGAGACCTTTAGAATACTTGAATTGAAAAAAAAAAGTGCTGATGTTTAATTTGTCTAGGAAAATAAATTCTTTCTTTGTATCATTAAACTGTACTATATTTTAGGTAGCGTAACATTCATTGTTCTTTCTACATTTGTGCTTACTTTTTTCCATAATAATGGCATGTTGCAAAGACCCAAAATATGTGCTTTAACTCTACTATTTACACAAATCCATTTATTTGCATAATATATTGGTTCGGTTGCTTTTTTCAGTTAATTCTCTTGATTCTAAGGAAATACTTAACACGTATTTTATTACTACTAAGTTTTATACCAGTTTTCAGGAACATTGGGACAGATTTTTACTTGGATATTATAAATTGTATGAATACCTTGTAAGCTATGGTTTCCTTTATTTGCAGATCACTTAAAAAACTGATTGTTGACGGGAATGAACTGACTACTTTTCCACCTGGAATTTTGAAGCTGACCCTGAGAAAAATCCTATTTGAGAATAATTTCACTCATCCTACTCTTTGGAAAGAGAATTCTGTGAATAGTCCACAGCGCCTTACTCAACTTACTTCTTTGTTCTTTTTAAAGAATAATCTACATATGTATTATACTGAGATTCCGGAGAAAATTCAAAAGTTACTAAAATGGTGAGCAAATTCTTAAGCCCTTTTAACCAAAACATACTGTTTTAAAGCATTTAAAATATTCTTTATTACAGGGCCAGATGATAGACTTACTGTACACACATCCCCTCACCTCACCCCCTGCACATACATCCCCCACACCACACACAACACTCCTGCAGTTTTTCAGATTGCTCCTTCTGGCTCTTTAGGCATAATAAAAAGTCTATGAAGAGTAGCACAAGGTAAGTTTGAGAAGGAAGATTGGGAACAGCTGCTGGAGACCACTGAATGCACTGGGGTTTCTTCTTTAGGCCATGGGAGCCATTTTATGTAACATAGAGCCAATCAGTACCCCCCCCCTTTTTTTTAAATCTATCATCCTGGAGCCCTGTGTCTTTGTGCCCTAATCTGGAAAAGTTGCTGTCTAGATCTGGCCCAC